AAATGGAGTGCATAATAAACTGCTTCTCAGACATCAGTGAGGTTTGTGAATAGAGATGAAAGTGAGTCTAATGTTTGGATATTTTTTAGCCAGAGGCACAAAACTCAACTTGTTGACTGTTACAGAGTGAAACTTGGGGAGATGCTATAATTGATCAGTAGGGGCCAATTATCGACCAAATAAGCCCCTAAATCTTTCATTTAAACCCTTTTTCCTGCTCTACAGCTTTCTTGAAGGAAAGAATAGTCTGAAGTGAATCCACCATAAAACCTTCTGCATGCCTTGTGGGGATAGGTGGACAGCTACTGAAAATGAACTGGCTATACTCAATCTCCTTGAAGGAGATTAAACATTTCATGATTTGGGGTTAATTTAGAGCTCACTATTCACCTGTTTAGTGTGTGAACATGAACACACTAGCTGTCGAAACAAGGGATGGTTGAGAAATAGTAGCAATAATAAGGCAATCCTAATTATAAAATAAAATGACAAAGGAACCTTAAGGCCACTACAGTTGAATGATTTCTTACTTGATGACAACCAGGACGAACCTGGATGAAAGCCAGGACCAGGCTGATTGTAACCCTAACTGTAGATCATAAGGTGTATAATGTGCTTGTGTGTATTTATTTTTTATTTATTGTGGGGGTTTTAAAGATTTAAAAGGCCAGATGGCCTGTATTCCCTGGGCCTGGTCTGTGTAACTTCTTGTCAGGAGAAGTGAGCGTTCACATGAGCTAAAGCAAAGCGTCACATAATCAGTCCCTTCAGGATTTGCAGGCATTTTGGAAGGGATTTGGGGGAATTTAAATGCCTATTTGTTGCAACATTTTGAACTTCCTTGAAGGCCTACCTTTAGTAAAATTCAGTTTGTTTTTAGGAAAAAAGGAGAAGGTCACAAGATGTGCAATACATACATTTGACATTTTTTGAAAGAAACGCAACAAATCCTGGTTGTTTTTGATTCCAAATCTGCACTCGTTGTACTTAATCAGAGGTGACACACCTCCTACTGCTTCTGCTCTCTCACACATGGCAGGAGTAAAGGTCAGAATAAGAAGTCTGACACACACACACACACACACACACACACACACACACACACACACACACACACACACACACACACACACACACACACACACACACACACACACACACACACACACACGGACAAACAAGAAAGAAAAACAATGAAAACTGATCCTTCTAAATCACATCAAAATGCAGACCAGACTAAAAATATATGAAACCTATATTGTGGGAGTGTATCTATGGATGAGTTTCCCTTTAATAAAAGCAATAAGACATGCACAGGGACTGAGCTGAATGAACACTGAGATGACCAGATTGGTCCTGGCAGGCCTTTATTGTCACTCTTGTGTCTTAATGGGGCCTGATAAGAGGGGACTCCGGATCAAAGCCACTTCTGGACTGACACACTAAATGCAGCATGAAATAGCCCACTGGTTATACATGTGCTCTACATGTCACTCAGCTTTCTTTTCAAATGGACTTTGGATTGATGTATACTTGAAATAAAAAACGACAGCAGTGATTTTAAAACCTTTCAAGTATTGCCATTCAAAAAATGATGGGGAAAAACATGCAGAGGGTAACATAAGAAAAAGAAACCACAGTCATACAAAGAGCCTATAGGTCAGAGCTGACAGATTTAATGAAAGCAGTTAATATTTATAGGCTTTTACGGCGGGAGTTTTGCTTTCATGTCACCTGTAATTTTCTTGAAGAGGTGTAATCTTGTATTCAAATGGGAATTAATAAGTGTTGTTCTATGTAATGGTAAAATAAGAGTCTAATTGTGTTTGTGTGCTTCAGTGATAATAAGCCTCTGCTAGGTTAAGAAATGAGGATTTCATTAATAGTGCAATAATAAGACACGTAATCACACCAGAAATCGTACGATTTTAACTTAAATACGAAATGTCCTCGTTCAATTTTCAGTTGCAACTCAAATATTTACCTTCAAGACAAAGCATGTATCAATAGATATTTTTTTAACATTATGCTTTTTACAGAAAAAATTGGGTTTTTACATTGTGGTCAATCAAAAATATTTTTTTGGTAAACTTTACACAGTATGGTAAGTGTTTTATCATTGTAACAGAATTAACAGAGGTAATCAACATAAACTGAAGACTGTGTTTTTGCCTTAAACCCTCAGCAACAACCCAATTTGTCAAATAAGTTTAAGGCGAAACTTTTACTTTATTCTCCTTTTTCTTACAAAAAACACATGTGTTTTTTTCTCCAGGATTCAGTTCATTGTGAAGCCTTTTTCATGCACTCTAAAAGGCACCAGTAGCTCATATGAGGAGTAATCTGCCATCGCTAATTACTAGAGACAGATTGAGAAGAGATTATCCCACACTCTAATCTGCGTTATGAAGTTATATTCGGGGTAATTTGAAATGGATGAAGCTACTCTGAAAGACTATTCCTATAGGGTCACACAGTTAGCCCTAACAGTAAAGGCTTTTTGCATAATAAAAGACAAAAGAAGAGAGGTGTGATCTCTAACAAGCAATCATTAAGTGCATTTGATGTTGTATTTCTCAGTGCCTCTGTGTACTACCTGTCAGCACCTGTGTGTCTGATCGGACTTAAAGCTGTTGGTTTACACTTACTGAAGTTGTTCCCTTTTTTCTAGATCCTTGCTTGTGTTTTACTTACTCTCTGATGTACGTCACTTTGGATAAAAGAATCTGCTAAGTGAATTGTAGAATTGTATTTCTCTTCTTTGCCGTGCATTTAAATTCATTTGTAGAATTTAGTTTATATTGTGTGATTTTAAAAGTTACTGATTGTCTGTGAACATCTCATGAGCGGCTCTCTTGTTAAGCTTTATTTTGGGGAGTCTCATGCCTTTATTTAGAGAAACGACAGTGGAAAGACTCAGAAATCAGGGAGAGAGAGAGAGAGACTGGGGAATGACAAGCAGGGAAAGGAGTGTCAGGTCGGTTTCGAGCCTGGGCCGTCTTCATTAGGGACTATAGCACAAGGGGTGCATGCACTAACCACTAGGCTTCTGGCGCCCTGTGAAATCACTCTGCTCAGAAAAATGTAAAACTTTTGAATATATGATTTGTGAAATTGTAGAAGTATTCAAGTCAAGCAAAACATTTATATAACTACTTCAGAAATTGAAGGAACAAGGCCATTTTTTCTCTACAAAGTACTTAAGGCTAAGTCGTAGCCATCCACCAAGTCTTCACACTCTTATTTTTGTCCGAATCCGGTGTAACACTTTGCTGTAGTAGAAGCAGATACATGTTGTAGTGGTTCCATCGTGGAACAGACACATGCAAGTCATCAGGGAGGAAAACACAGTCATGAGGTAGAAATTAAACACTCGCTGAGCTCCCTGCGAGCACTGCTTCCGCTTAATAAATGTAATAACTGAGTAAGTGAGGCAGCTAGTCACAGTGAACAAAGGCTCTGTGAGGTTGTCCTTTGTCAGTGAGCTGTCACTGCAGCATGCCTGCTGAGGTGTAAAACACAATGGAGACAGATTCCTTGTCAGCTCCCCTATCAGCAACTTCCTGTCGGATAATAACGATTTATATTCCCCAACTGTTCATTGTGTTCAGCGAGGAAATAATCATTGATGCGCTGAGCCGGCGGAAATGGAACAGTCCCTTTAGTTTCTAACTGTGTGTCCTGATTTCAAACGTTTTGTTTTCTTTCTTTAAACACATACGCAGATTTTCCACTGTTAATTTTGGCTTTTGGTGAGATCTTCGTCCCATTTGGTCACAGTTTGGGGAAAAGAAGACTTTTTGTGGAGACGACGACTAAGCAAACAGCAAAGCTAAAAAAAAAAAAGCGGATAAACATCCTTCACAGACAGAGCCTTTTAACGTCTGAATGTTGAATCAGCTATAAATACACGGCTATGTTATAATTGTTTTCCTCTGCCATCTAAACCAATGAGCCTCGAGGTCCACTGCGGTGCAGTGATCGACCACATCAGTGGGAAAATGCACCATACCTCAGAGCCCGGGCGAACTGCCTGTTGAATGCACAACAACCTCGGCCAAAACACACACAACCAAGTTGGTACGCGGCTCTGCCTGCGCACTGTGTACGCATGTATCTGTGTGTGTGTGTCTGTGATTTGTAATGGCTGTTGCCATAGCTGTATTCAGTATAGGCTTGCTGCAAACAAAAACAATGTCTGTCCAAAACAAAAAAAATCTTTAACCGTCAATCAGCGTATTGGAATTGCTCAGGTGTTTCTGCTGGATTTATGAATGAAATATTGACTCCCATTCAGACTGTAAGAGTCGCTTCTGTTCAACCAGGTGAGAGGTTTTCAAAGCAATGCAACAATGTGCAATAAACACATTGTCAGTCCTTCAACAGGAACTAGGTTACTAGGCTCTGCTCTACACATACACTGTGTTTTGTAATGAAACTGTGCATGAATAGGAAAACACCAACAAGCTTTTAAGAGTCCTCTGTCCTGTTGTGTGTTGATGAAAAATTGTGTCTCCAGCATGTTGATTCAAAATTACAATTTGTTAAGCATAGCAGTACTAGGAATTTAACATGCAGCACAGACACTAGGTGTCCATAATATAATTATTGTTATCAGCTCAGGTTTTGTAGTTAATATGGTCTGCTTTCTCTCTTCAATTTAGGGGAACAATATTTCCTACTTACACTTGATCACACGCAACTTTATACCTGATTTGCAAGCGTTTAATGGTGGATATGGCAGAAACCACAGGACAAATATGTAAATTGCAGGTCAGCATGCATATGTGTCATTTCCCTTATTTGTATCCTCTGATGCAAACATCGCATTGCTTATTGCAATAATAGCTGCCCATCTACCAGCTCATTGACAGGCTGCAGTGTTCTGTGCACAGAGAAGGTATGCCTGCCCCTCTTCCGACCACAAATTCGCTTATTGCACAACATATATGAACGAATGCGTTCTTAAAAGTAAAAAAAAAAAAAAAAATCTGACTTACCAGGCACAAAGTGCTGAATAGTGAGATGAGCAGAAAGTCCAGGTTGTACAGTAGCAGAGCGGATCCCATCCCGGACCTGAGGCGGCTCTACCTCTCAGAGTCCTCAAAACAGACGCTGATGATGCTCAGATGAAATGATTTAAGCTACTTAACTCTCTTCAAAGTGGAGCGACTTGTGTTTTTTCTTACTCCATCTGGCCTCGCGATGCTTACGGCTGCCTGTGAAATCATAACTCGGTAATCGCCTCGCTCTGCCCTCGATTTAATTTCCTATAATCTCACTATATGCCCGGCTCAACTCAGCTCTCTCTCCCTCTCTTTATTTCTCTGCATCTGTCTCTTTTTTTCCCCCCCTTCTTCTGAAATTACATCCACATGTCAGAAACTATTTATGTCGCTCTCTGCTCTGCGGTGGGAAGTTCAAATGATTCTTTGTAGGGGAAGAAACCAACGCTGTATTTTTAGGTCTTTTAAATTTCCCCTCAGACTAACTTAAACACTTCAGTATGGAGCTGTGCGCCTTACGCTTATTCCAGTCTCCCTTTCCAAATGTTAGATCAGTGTTGGACTAAATGAAATAAGCCATAAATGTGTCACTCCATCACCAAGTCGCTGTTGAATGTCGCTGTTTGATTCCCTGGGACTTATGTCGCCATAAACGCAACATAGATAACGTGCAGTGGAGCGGCAGGGTCGAAACGGGCTTTAAATGTCGCATTTAACCACAGAAACAGCGTGAAATCACAGACTTTTCATTGACGTCTCTTCGTTAACTACCTGATAGGCTACACTTCACTGTCACTGGCTCGTTATAAAAAAACTAGGCAATAAAGACACAACTTAGTAAAGTGTCATGTAGGCTCTTTTAATTTCGAGAAAATCGCGTTCAACTTCATCAAAATCTAGCGTGGCTTGACGGCAACTGAATGTATGAAACTCCCAAACGGGGCCAAAACAAAACTCCGAAACAAGACAGGAATGCCAATTTAACTTCAGGAAAGCGCTACTTACTACCAAGAGAAAGCCACATTTCACCCTGACGGACACACACTTCGCGTACGCCTGAGTGTTGCTGTAAAAGTCGAAGTTTTGTCGTTGTGTGGAGCGACTCCAGATGTGGCAGGCGGCAGGTCGTGTTCACTAGTGAGTATGTGGATGGAAAAGGGGGGGGGCGGAGAGGAGGCAGGTAGGGTGGAGCGTCACGGCCTCTGATTGGTGCGCACGCTCTTACGTGGGAATAAACCACGACTCCGAAATGACATATTTTCTCACCCCTCAAACAAACTCTACATTCAACAGATCGCAGGGCATTTGCCAAACCGCTTTTTCCCTCTGCAGTCTCTCAAAAAGTTGCATCTAGTAGGATTGGATTACCGAGACATAATGCAGGAGATGTCCCTCTTTTAACACGGGGCTCAATCTGCTGCTTCGCTGTGATTTCAATCGAGGCTGCACGGACAACTGTCTCAAAACAGACTTAAACTTATATTTGGACTTTAAACATTGGACGGTCAGGAATCCAAAGTTGAAGAATATATGAATTGTTTCATGGCAGTATAAATGCTTTTTTTTCCACCCCAACTTATATTTTGTGACACGACTGATCCGGTCCTGTTTTATTTAACTCGTGTGTTTTGTTGACTTTGGCCCCACTTTGACATTTACTTCCTTATTGTTTGAGGTCTCACAGACCCCACAGCAGCATGGGTAATAACAGGAATGATGATAATAGCTGCAAAAGGAGCCTATTTGACTTCAGACTTTATTATCTTTTCTCATTGAATCCTCTATTTTAGAAAATAATGACCATAAAGCTTTGTTTTTAAAATAAATAAGGAAATAAGTGAGACAGCTTGTCACAAAGTTTAATGACTTACCCAAGGACCTATACCAGTACATATTATTTACAAGACCTTGTTGATGTCTCTATTAAAATATTCTATAATCATTCCTTTTGTTTGCAAAAGAGTTTCACCAAACACTTCCAAACTTGTCTCTATATTGCAACAACGGGCTAAAATGTCTTTGGGTCTTACAGCATTCAATCAAACCTTTACTTAACTTTGATTCAATCCAGATTTAAATGTTTTCGCATTTATACACTTGATCTATATCCTGAGGGCAATAAGACCTTTTTACTCTGTTATTGTTAGACACGCTTCACACACAGCCATTATTGAGAGATGTCAGAGAGAAGGGACTTCGCAGTGACTGGCACCCCTAGCAGTTAGCGGTGCAATGCCTTGCTCAATAGCTATATATATATATATATATATATATATATATAGATAGACATACTAGGGGAGTAAACTAGCAACTCTGCAGCAACCAGTCCCAATTCCATACTTGGTCTGTGCCAGGAATTTAACTGTTTCCAACAGTCCCAACAGACTGAGCTAATTGCAAAAGTTCTTGCAAATAAATGCAGGAGCTGAATGCAACTGGCTCAATATATTTTATTGTAAGCATTTATTGCTTGTAGTCTGAGTAGGATTGTCCACTGTAATGATTCTGCGAGCACCATTTGTTTTCCTAACAACAGTCCCTGAGACGAGCAAGCATGAACTCTGAATACTTCTTCCATCATTGTGTGCAGCATAAAAAAGGTTCTGTCAACAACAATCAAGGCCATGCAGCCTGTAGAAACCCACTTTTCACAGCTTTTCTCTCCGAGACCCAAACAAAACAAATGTGATGTTTTCAGACATCTGCCTTCTGTTCAATATCTTGTTTTGAAGAGGGTTTACAATGGTATAAAGCTACAATGTATCAAGTGAATTAAATAATCATTTTTATTCTGAATAGAGCATATGTGTTGACTGCTATATAAAAAAAAAGAACACATTTTGTTATTCTGAGGTCAACAATCAGACAGGCTTCTGTGTAAACAACTCAAAAGTCAGTTTGTAACAATGATAAACTGTATTTATCACACAGAAAAACAGAAACATGCTTTATAGGTAATCATGTAATGTACATGATTTTTTTAAAGAGAAAGTTAAAAAACTAAAGCTAAAAACTTTGTGGTTCTTTTTTCTTGCAATCATGATCTTACAGACACGGTAATCATTTTTTCAATGTGAGGTCAACAAGCATTGCACTGCTGCATTATGAGTTGAATATACTTAACCTTGTACATCAGCAGATAATTGTGCAATTTATTAATCACTTCCCTGTAATGTTGGAAAAACAGCAGAACAGCGAGCTTCAGAATCACTGTAAAAAGCTTTGGTATAATATAACATATATATTATATATATAATATAACAAGAAAACGACATTTCAGCATCACAGTCATTCACTACCATGTGTTTCTGCAACCCAGGAAGCAGAGATTCTGTACAAAAGCGAGTCACCTATATGGCGTTCATCCTCATGTGGAATCTCATGTTGTTGATGCTGTCGTTACATGATGTGACACCAAGTTAAATTTTAATCATTCTGCACTCATTGCATGTAATATGCTAACATACCAAGACCTTTGTGACCCCTTGAACTCAACATGCAATTAAATATTAATAGTCTCCCCTTTTAAGCATTCGGATGTATATATACATTGGTTAATAGTTTCTAACACTGTAATGAGTTGTATGCACATTCCAATGAATATCTTTGTATGTCAAAAAACAATCTCCTTGTGAAAACCTCAATTGAACCTGTTGTAGTAAAGTATAGTGAAATAAAATCAGCTGTGTGGCCCTTCATTTGATTCACCTTAATGTTTATGTTTGTTTCAACTGCATGGACCCAAACAGTACATTTACAACTTCACAGATCTCTGTTTTGTTCTCTAGGCAGCACCTTTGGCAATAAGTGGTAAACACGGGTCACTGGTGTTATGCTGCATTCCATTTGATCTAGGAAGTCGGATATTCCAAGTTGCCAGTCTGATACGTCATCAGGAATGCCCCCTCGGAAACACTCAAGAACATTCAGTCGCCCAAGTTAAAATCCAACATGGCTGCTACGTGCATCAACTGAAAGGTATTGGCTTGTTGTCACTATTGTGTTTATTAGCAGTGTAGCAGTGTAGTCCTCTTTTGTGTGATTAAATCAATCACACCGATAGTATCGGACTAGTTCCATCTGTGAACATGTTGTTGTTTTATTTTCGCACACAAACATTCACGTAGTGTGTTTTTATTTGTCTGGTATTAACAAACAAAGGTACTACTGGAGGTGTCCTTATTGCTTGTATGACTTGCAACTGGAACACGATCGACTCGGGTGTGACATTATTCCCAGCTCCGAGATCCAAGTTGCGAGGTAAATGCAACATTACCCTGCTGATGGTCTCTTTGCTTTTTCGACTTACTGTCTTCCTCCGAACCTCAAATTTGATTCTTCTTCTTTGAATTTGTTCTTGTTTTGTCGTCATTAATATTTTCTCTTTTTTTTTGGCCAAAGTACAATTACTTTCACTTCTCATGTTGACCTAAAAAACTGGTGTGCCAAAATAAGTTAAGTTTTTTATTCCTGGGATATCCATTATCAACACACATTTAGTAATTCTGTGAAACCCAAAGCTTTAAGTCTTTAAATACCAACACACTCGCTCAGACACACAAGGTATCCGTTCTAGGCTCAGAAGAGATGCAGAAGATAGCCTCTGTTTGGGGGAAAAACTACAATGGTTTAATAAATTTCGATCTTCTGGGTAAAAGTCCTTTGTTGTTTGGCCCACCCTCTGCCCTTACCACTGCCCAAGCAGACTTTCTCATTTTACCACTCTCTCGCAAAGACCAGTTACTCCGAGCGCTCAGTATTGGACTGGATGGTTGAAATTGGAGGAAGTTGAAAGACTTGTCCGTGTCATGCAGACACTGAAGGTACCATATGTGTCTGCATGAGGAATACAGCGCTGCAACAAAGAATTGGTATGTGACGACTTACAGATGAGATAAGGCCAACATTTCATAAGTGGCCTATATGCTCCATCACCGTTGTGGAACCTCATTTAATGACTTCAGGGGTCCCTGAGGACTAAGCCTAATCTCTGTTGATACTGGCCTCTGTGTGCTTGCAAAGTATTTTCTATAGAAAAATCTCCCCGTTTCTGTTGATCGACCAAATGTACATCCTAGCATGAATATTTGCCGAGTCTCTATGCTGTAGATTGCTTTATCAAAATCCCACCGTCGATCCCCATATGTGCTTTCAGAATAACTTTAGAAAAAGTAAATCTTTTATTTTGGATTGGTCTGAATTGCTTTTGTAGCTCACAAAGAGGCATCAATATTACATTGAGACCTTTCATAAGCAGGTGTAAAGTGGTTATGAAACAAAATTAAACAAAAGCTCATTATTTAAAGGCCCACTGACAATAAAGAGTATAAGGTTCTTATGTTCTTAAACAACATGCTGCAGATGTTCAAGATGGGGGTCCAAGCAACTGGGTCCGACATGTAAGTTGTTTGCCCTTATAAATCAATTCTACATGTAATTTAACATATTCACAGTATATCAAGGATTTCTAGAAAACTCTGCTTGTTTGACTCTTATTGAGGAGCATCTTCTTGTTTGTTCAACATATCAAAGATTAAAGGAAAATTTGAAACATTTCAACTCCAACTCATTCATATGTACAGAATTTACTTCCATGTCTTTTTAGGGTACTCCGAATATTAATATTCTTTATTTTTTCCACTTCCCATTTTTAGTTCTGAATGATTGCCATTGACAGTCCTGAACAATAACCCTCCACCTTAATTAGCCCAAGACTCTTTCACACCATGATCTC